TTTTTTCTTTTTTAAGAAGTCGAGGCAAGATGACATGCCATAGAAGCTTGAAAAACTCTAATAGTTATCTATACAAGCAAGAAAATTGAAAGAGAATAAATAGAAGCTCAAAATGATTTTTAATGCCCTTCTTGAAAAAGAAAAGAAAGCCAGTAAATCCCTGATAAATTTTATCCTTCCTAGCAAGTGCAGACAATCTTAACATGATCACCCTACCGATGTTAAATTCTCTCAACCATATTTCTCCTCAAACGTAATATGTCCTACAACCAATGTTTAACTAGTAATGAATGGAACGGGTTCAAATGGAGCCAAATGAATAGTAGGTTTCTGTTTAACCTACGCAACTAGCTTGGGCTTGAGGTATAGTTGTTTCCTAAGTTGCACAGACTCGGCTGCAGGTGTCCGATACAAGAACGAATCTAGAGGTTAGATTTTTCATGATCCAAATTTTAAGATTCAGGGATACGGATACAGGTGCGGCGATTCAGCTAAAAATTAATCCAAATATCTATACATTTATAAAAATATGACTACATTAAGAGACATTATGTGGAGAAATTACAAGGTATTACGAGAAGGAGAAAATATTGATCAACAGGAGAACCCGAGAAGGAGATACTGACATCAAAATTTCTGTATAGAAGGTATTCCATTTTCTTCAATTTCACACCCTATCTTTTGTTTTGATTTCAGAAATCATTGTATTTGTCCCGAATGTCGCGGTCAATTTTGGTCAAAGAACCCAAAGTCTGTTGACCAAATTCTGTACGGATCCCACATTCACGTTGTATCGACATAGGTGCGGCACCGAAAGTGAAGAGTCCAAGCAACTTAGGTTGTTTCAATGTTGATTATTTAAAAGTAGGTTATGCAACAACTGAATTACCTGAAGTACATAAACAAAATAAAAAAGAATTTGCAAACAATTCAATTGTATTTGGTATACTTTAATGAATATACTTAAATTGCATCTGTTAAATTTTATTTTATTTTCGAAATTTGGTACATTTTAATGAATATGCTTAAACTGTATTTGGTACATTTTAATGAATATTTAAAATTTAGTTGTATGAAGTTAATCCACCATATCTAAAGCCTAAATTCTTTTGATAATTTGGCAAAAGTAAAAGCTCCATTGGAGATTCATAAGTGACTTAAAATATCAAGTACATGCAATTAATTGTCATCTCAACTTCCTTATTTAAGCCAGTATATGCTGATTCTCATAAAAATCAACCAACTGTAATATATCTAAGATTTGAACATATTTTCTATAACACCCTTACAAGAATGCAAGTGAAACAGGTTTGGTAGTAATTCTTATTCCTAATTCTCCAATTTGAGATTGTTGTGGTTGAGATTTAATCGGATATTTCGTCTGTTCTTTTCCCATTTTGTTATTGGTTAACATAGAGGTGAACCAAAATTTAGTTATTTTATGGTCATGAAATATATTAAGGAAGGACAGAACTGTCAATAGTTTGAGTCATAGAGATCAAGGTAGTAGTTTACGTCATTACCTGTACCACTTTATCATTCTCTGCAGCACAGTTTGGAGCGTGCTCTGCACCCAATAGTTGTACTTCAACCCCCCTCGATAAACCTATTTCCGATGAAACTCTTTCCCATTCAGCAATTAGGCATTTGATTTCACTCGATCCAACTAAGATTCTTGCACTTATGGAACCACCCTTCCCCACACCAGGTATGTGTCTGTGTACACGGCTAGCTTCTAAAGATCTTTCAAACACTCGAACTGTGGCAACTTGTGCTGGTGAGTATAATGGCTCCCGGCTCTAAAGAAGATCTCAAAACAGTTAGAGAAGACAGCATTTGCAAAAACCTGTCAAAGTGTCATTAATGAAGCACAATGGAAAAACTGGCATGACTAGAAGTTAAAGGAGGTAATGAATAGTCACAGAACTTCAAGCGAAGATATGGTGGCAACACGGTCTTTTGACCCTGCAATTGGAGTGGAAAACTTTATAGACGCTCCAGTGTCTTTCTCTAAAGCTTTGACAATAATACCACCCTTGCCAATCACACCTCCAGCAGCGTCATTAGAGCAAAGCAATCTAAAGACTACTTTTCTTTGAGCACTGTCCGCATCCAGATTCAAAACTCTATCAACATCTGATGATAATGACTGTACTACTGAAGAATGATTAACGGCATTTCTCTGCAACGGTGGTATCGAGGGTTTGGTATCCAGAAGAAAGTCCGCAGACTGTTCACGGACTGCGCCTTCCGAAGTAACGTGGGCTGTTGTTCTGTCAGCTGGTAAGCAAACTTGAAGACGCCGAGAAATGGGAACCAATGCTTTCTTTACGGCCAAAGTTCTACCCATTATCTGCATTGATTTAAACAATCACTTAGAGATAAACTGAATGCATATTTTTGCCCCTACATAGATATCTATTCATTTGCCACATACACACGTAGCTCGATTTTCCACAACAACAACAACAACGAACCCAGTGTATTCCCATAAATGGGGCCTGGGGAGGGTAGTGTGCACGCAGACCTTAACCCTATCTCGATTTCCACTACATAACACAAATTTGGAACTAAAAAAGTCATTTGTTATGTTACGCAGACTCTCCAAAATGTTGTCGTACCCCTGTCGGATCCTCCAAAAATGCACTACTTTTGAAGGATCCGACACACACCCGACAATATTTTCGGAGAGTCCGAGCAACATAGGTCATTTGTCACCTTGCTCTCCATTATATGAGATGTAAATCTAAATTGCAAAAAGAGAGTAATGCCCCGAGATAAAATGAAAAAAACAAAAGAAAATAGTAAAAAGGATGCAAAAGTTGCCATATTACACGCTTCTCCAACACTGTGTCTTCTGCTAGGAACAAAGGAAAAGCATTTCCAGATCTAGTAAGTCCTTCATTTCACCTCAACACTAATAATAACTACCTTTCCCAACTCTCACATCAATACACACTGAGTTTTGATCTCCACACTCAAACTGAGATATTCATCCCGTGAGTTTCATTTATAGCGACAACATACCTTTCCCCTCCTTTCTTTTTCAAGGAACCTTTTTTTTTTGGGCGTGGATGTCAAACATGTGGCAGCAATATTAGGGACTCTGATTTACCTCGAATATTACCAAATTTACCAGATTCCCCCTTCAACACAAGCGGGTAGCCACACCAAAGAACCCCTTTTTTCAAACCACATTTTATTACCATTCTCACCCGACTCTAAAGAAAAGATTAGTCCAACAGATCTAACATTTCATTTCTAGTTCACAACACAAACTAACTGTTGACAACAATTTTGAAAGGTCAATACAACACTAACTACACCTCAATTCCAAATTAGTTGGAATAAATCCTCTATACTCATTTCACTCTATCTAGGTCCATTTCATTTCAATATTCAATAACTTGTCACGAGTTAGGGGTTCTTTGAAAACGGTTCTCTCAATCTCACCGTCAAACAATCTCCAACCAAAATAAAAAGACTCTTGTCAAAACACCAAACTAATAAAGCATAGAATTAAAATCCAACAAGCTAGTATCTCCAAATAGATAGAGTTTAGTTTCTATGCACTCACAGTACAAACAATATTTACGCAATCAGATTACTTAAATGGTAATTGCATGTAGCTCTATTTAATAGCATTGATCGGTATCTTAAAATAAATAGTAAGTAACATGTTACAGCAGGATAAATAACACTGATGCTGTAAAAAATTCATTATATTTTTAGTGTATATAACTTAAATTTTCGGAAACAAACACCTGAATCAACTCTTCTTCAGGTACAGCACAAGCAGGAAGCTGGTCTTTTTTCAAAACCTTAATTTTGGCACCTGTACTTTTCCTTATACCATCTACAATGGCGCCACCTTTTCCCATTAAAGCTCCAATTTGACTTTTAATTGCGAGCAATCTACACCCAACTGCCCCACCTTCATTCCCTTCAACCTGCAATACCCTTTCGTAAACCCGAATCAAACCTTCTTGTGCTCTAGAAACTTCCACTACCTCCTCAACTTCTTCACTGTTATTA